TCCTATAAGAAAGATGGAGCAATCCCAAGAGGGAGGATGGAGATTACCCCACGGGAGGAGGATGGAAAGAACCCCATGGGAGGGGGTTATGGGGAGGATGGAGCTAACCTCAGGGGAGGAGGCTGGAGATAATCCCATAGGGAGGGTGGAGATATCTGAAGGGGGAGGATGGAGATGACCCCATGGGAGGAGGATGGAAAGAACCCCATGGGAGGGGGCAATGGGGAGGATGGAGCTAACCCTATGAAGATGATGAAGCTCAACCCATGGGGAGGAGGTTGGAGATAATCGCATGGGGAGGGTGGAGCTATCCCAACAGGGAGGATGGAGATGACTCCATGGGAGGAGGATGGAAAGAACTGCACGGAGGGGGGTTTTGGGGAGGATGGAGCTAACCCTATGAAGATGATGAAGCTCAACCCATGGGGAGGAGGTTGGAGATAATCGCATGGGGAGGGTGGAGCTATCCCAACAGGGAGGATGGAGATGACTCCATGGGAGGAGGATGGAAAGAACTGCACGGAGGGGGGTTTTGGGGAGGATGGAGCTAACCCTATGGAGATGGTGAAGCTCAACCCATGGGAGGAGGTTGGAGACAACCCCAGGGGAGGAAGTTGGAGACAACCCAATGGGGAGGATGGAGATGACCCCATGGGGAGGAGGTTGGAGCTAACCCAACGGGGAGGAGGCTGGAACCAACCCCATGGGGCTGCTGCACCCATGGGGGTGCTCAGCCCCCACCATGGCCACCCTTTCCCCGGGACGTGGTGACCCGTGGTCCTCCTGCCCGCAGGGTGGAGACGTGCTGGCAGCCCGGGGAGCCGCGGGGCCGCAGCGCCGTCCCCCGCCGCCGCCCCACCTACTACACGGTGACGGTGCCCACCTCCTGCCTGCCCCCCCAAACCCCCCCGACCCACCGCTCCGGCTCCGACGACAGCATCTCCGACCTCTCCAGCATCTCCCACGCCACCTCCCCGGGCAGCAGCAGCCCCGACGTCTCCTTCCCGCGCCCCCCGCTCCCCCTGGCCCAACCCGGCTACCACCCCCGGGGTGCCCCCCGCCTCCTGCCCCCCGCCGGACCCCCGACTTTCCTCTACGAGCAGGATTTGGCCCCTTTGCGCTACCAGAGGCTGGTGGCCTCCCACAGCCGCATCGTGCGCACCCCCTCGCTCAAGGACTACGCGCCGGCGGGGGGTGGCCGGGGGGTCTCCAAGGCGGCCGTCACCGAGGAGCTCCTGTCCTGGCACCAGCGGGCACGGCTGAGGGGTGCCCGGCCCCACTCCCTCGACCGGCAAGGGGCCTTTCGGGGACCCCGCGGTGGGACCCCCCGGGAGGTGCCCATCACCCGTGGAGTCCTGCCCTGGGCACAGGTAGGTGGGCTGGGAGCTGGGGGGGATGGGATGTGGGAGAGTTGGGGGGCTGGGGGGCCACCGCGGTGCCTGTCCCCATGTGGGGACACCCCCCACCACCCCCCGGTGTTGCCCTGTGGGTGACGTGAGTTGTCACCCTGAGGTGGTTCTGGGACAAGTGGCTGTGGTGGGGTCCCATCAGGGTCCCCAGAGGAGGAGAGGGGTCCTGAGGGGGTCTGTAGGGGAGAATTGGGGTCCCATGAAGGTCTGTGGGGAAGAATTGGGGTCCCATGAGGGTCTCTGGGGCAGGACTGGGGTCCCATGAGGGTCTGTGGGGCAGGACTGGGGTCCCATGAAGGTCCCCTGGGGCAGGACCGTGGTCTCAGGAGGGTCTTGGGGACCCAATCATGGTCCTTCAAGGTCCTTTGTGGCAGGATCAGGACCCTCTGAGGGTCCCTCTGGGCAGGTCCAGGGTCCCACAGGCTGGGCATGGGGTCCCACAAGGATCCCTGGGGTCTCAGGAGGGTCCTTGGGGTCCCATGAGGGTCTCTGGGGCATGACCATGGTCTCAGGAGGATCTTGGGGACAGGACCAAGGGCCTTCAAGGTCCTTTGGGGCAGGATCAGGACCCTCTGAGGGTCCCTCTGGGCAGGTCCAGGGTCCCACAGGCTGGGCCTGGAATCCCATGAGGGTCCCTGGGGTCTCAGGAGGGTCCTTGGGGTCTCACGAGGGTCTCTGGGGCAGGAGCAGGATCCTAAGGGGGCCCAGGGGGAGGATCGGGGTCAAAGAAGTGTCCCCTGGGCAGGGTTGGGGTCCTGAGGAGGTCCCACGGCCATGACCAGGGTCTTGTGGGGGTCTTGGGAACGGGACCAAGGTTCCTCAAGGTCCTTTGGGGTGGGATGGGGACCTTCTGAGGGTCCCTCCAGGCAGGTCGGGGTCCCATGAGCAGGACCTGGGGTCCCAGGAGGGTCCCTGGGGCAGGAGCAGGATCCTGAGGGGATCCCAGGGGGAGGATCGGGGTCCTGCAGGGATCATGGGGGAAGAACTGGGGTCCTACAGGGTCCCTCGGGTCAAGCCTGGGGACCTCCAAGGGTCCTTAGGACAGAGAGTGGTGAAGGTCCTCTGGGGCAAGAGCAGGTCCTAAGGGGGTCCCAGGGGGAGGATCAGGGTCCAAGAAGGGTCCCCTGGGCAGGGTTGGGGTCCTGAGGAGGTCCCACAGCCACGACCAGGGTCTTGTGGGGATCTTGGGCATGGGACCAAGGTTCCTCAAGGTGCTTTGGGGTGGGATGGGGACCATCTGAGTGTCCATCTGGGCAGTTCCAGGGTCCCACAGGTTGGGCCTGGGGTCCCATGAGGGTCCCTGGGGTCTCAGGAGGGTCCTTGGGGCAGGAGCAGGATCCTGAGGGGGTCCCAGGGGGAGGATTGGGGTGCAAGAAGTGTCCCCTGGGCAGGGTTGGGGTCCTGAGGAGGTCCCACGGCCATGACCAGGGTCTTGTGGGGGTCTTGGGCACAGGATCAAGGTTCCTCAAGGTCTTTTGGGGTGGGATGGGGACCTTCTGAGTGTCCATCTGGGCAGGTCGGGGTCCCATGAACAGGACCTGGGGTCCCATGAGGGTCCCTGGGGTCTCAGGAGGGTCCTTGGGGCAGGAGCAGGATCCTAAGAGGGTCCCAGGGGGAGGATTGGGGTGCAAGAAGTGTCCCCTGGGCAGGGTTGGGGTCCTGAGGAGGTCCCACGATCATGACCAGGGCCTTGTGGGGATCTTGGGAATGGGACCAAGGTTCCTCAAGGTCCTTTGGGGTGGGATGGGGACCTTCTGAGGGTCCCTCCAGGCAGGTTGTGGTCCTTCAAGGTCCTTTGGGGTGGGATGGGGACCTTCTGAGGGTCCCTCCAGGCAGGTCGGGGTCCCATGAGCAGGACCTGGGGTCCCAGGAGGGTCCCTGGGGCAGGAGCAGGATCCTGAGGGGATCCCAGGGGGAGGATCGGGGTCCTGCAGGGATCATGGGGGAAGAACTGGGGTCCTACAGGGTCCCTCGGGTCAAGCCTGGGGACCTCCAAGGGTCCTTAGGACAGAGAGTGGTGAAGGTCCTCTGGGGCAAGAGCAGGTCCTAAGGGGGTCCCAGGGGGAGGATCAGGGTCCAAGAAGGGTCCCCTGGGCAGGGTTGGGGTCCTGAGGAGGTCCCACAGCCACGACCAGGGTCTTGTGGGGATCTTGGGCATGGGACCAAGGTTCCTCAAGGTGCTTTGGGGTGGGATGGGGACCATCTGAGTGTCCATCTGGGCAGTTCCAGGGTCCCACAGGTTGGGCCTGGGGTCCCATGAGGGTCCCTGGGGTCTCAGGAGGGTCCTTGGGGCAGGAGCAGGATCCTGAGGGGGTCCCAGGGGGAGGATTGGGGTGCAAGAAGTGTCCCCTGGGCAGGGTTGGGGTCCTGAGGAGGTCCCACGGCCATGACCAGGGTCTTGTGGGGGTCTTGGGCACAGGATCAAGGTTCCTCAAGGTCTTTTGGGGTGGGATGGGGACCTTCTGAGTGTCCATCTGGGCAGGTCGGGGTCCCATGAACAGGACCTGGGGTCCCATGAGGGTCCCTGGGGTCTCAGGAGGGTCCTTGGGGCAGGAGCAGGATCCTAAGAGGGTCCCAGGGGGAGGATTGGGGTGCAAGAAGTGTCCCCTGGGCAGGGTTGGGGTCCTGAGGAGGTCCCACGATCATGACCAGGGCCTTGTGGGGATCTTGGGAATGGGACCAAGGTTCCTCAAGGTCCTTTGGGGTGGGATGGGGACCTTCTGAGGGTCCCTCCAGGCAGGTTGGGGTCCTGGGGTCCATTAGCAGGACCTGGGGTCCCATGAGGGACCCTGGGGTCTCAGGAGGGTCCCAGGAGGGTCCTTGGGGCAGGAGCAGGATCCTAAGGGGTCCCTGGGGCAGGACTGGGGTCCCAGGGGGGTCCCTGGGGTCTCATGGGGGTCCCATGAAGGTCCCTTGGGGGGTCCTTGGGGCAGGAGCAGGATCCTAAGGTCACAAGGATCCCTGGGGTCTCAGGAGGGTTCTTGGTGTCCCATGAGGGTCTCTGGGGCAGGACCATGGTCTCAGGAGGGTCTTGGGAACAGGACCAAGGGCCTTCAAGGTCCTTTGGGGCAGGATCAGGACCCTCTGAGGGTCCCTCCAGGCAGGTCCAGGGTCCCACAGGCTGGGCCTGGGGTCCCACGAGGGTCCCTGGGGTTTCAGGAGGGTCCTTGGGGCAGGAGCAGGATCCTGAAGGGGTCTCAGTGGGAGGACTGGGGTCCAAGAAGTGTCCCCTGGGCAGGGTTAGGGTCCTGAGGAGGTCCCACGATCAGGGTCTTGTGGGGGTCTTGGGAACAGGACCAAGGTTCCTCAAGGTCTTTTGGGGTGGGTTGGGGACCTTCTGAGGGTCCCTCTGGGCAGTTCCAGGGTCCCACAGGTTGGGCCTGAGGTCCCACGAGGGTCCCTGGGGTTTCAGGAGGGTCCCTGGGGCAGGAGCAGGATCCTGAAGGGGGTCCAGGGGGAGGATCGGAGTCCAAGAAGGGTCCCCTGGGCAGGGTTGGGGTCCTGAGGAGGTCCCACGGCCACAACCAGGGTCTTGTGGGGATCTTGGGCACGGGACCAAGGTTCCTCAAGGTCCTTTGGGGTGGGATGGGGACCTTCTGAGTGTCCCTCCAGGCAGGTCCAGGGTCCCACAGGTTGGGCCTGGGATCCCATGAGGGTCCCTGGGGTCTCAGGAGGGTCCTTGGGGCAGGAGCAGGATCCCAAGGGGATCTCAGGGGGAGCATCAGGGTCCTGCAGGGATCACGGGAGAAGAATTGGGGTCCTACAAGGGTCCCTCAGGTCAAGCCTGGGGACTTCCGAGGGTCCTTAGGACAGGACTGGTGAAGGTCTTTTGGGGCTGGAGCAGGTCCTAAGGGGGTCCCAGGGAGAGGATTGGGGTCCACGAAGTGTCCCCTGGGCAGGGTTGGGGTCCTGAGGAGGTCCCACGGCCATGACCAGGGTCTTGTGGGGGTCTTGGGAATGGGACCGAGGTTCCTCAAGGTCTTTTGGGGTGGGTTGGGGACCTTCTGAGGGTCCCTCCAGGCAGGTCGGGGTCCCATGAGCAGGACCTGGGGTCCCACGAGGGTCCCAGGAGGGTCCCTGGGGCAGAAGCAGGATCCTGAAGGGGGCCCAGGGGGAGGATCTGGGTCCAAGAAGGGTCCCCTGGGCAGGGTTGGGGTCCTGAGGAGGTCCCATGGCCACAACCAGGGTCTTGTGGGGTTCTTGGGTATGGGACCAAGGTCCCTCAAGGTCTTTTGGGGTGGGATGGAGACCTTCTGAGGGTCCCTCTGGGCAGGTCGGGGTCCCACAAGCAGGATCTGGGGTCTCATGGGGGGTCCCAGGAGGGTCCTTGGGGCAGGAGCAGGATCCTCAGGGGGTCCCTGGGGCAGGACTGGGGTCCCTGGGGGGTCCCTGGGGTCTCACAAGGGTCCCAGGAGGGTCCTTGGGGCAGGAGCAGGATCCTAAGGGGTCCCTGGGGCAGGACTGGGGTCCCATGGGGGTCCCTCCGCTCACACCCGGGGTCCCATGGGGGTCCCTGGGGCAGCACCGGGGTGTCCTGGGATGGGGGGGTCCCTGGAGACATTTGGGGGGTGCCATCTCCTTCCCCTCCACCTGGCGGG